GTAGCCCAAACTCTGTGAGTAACGATTGTGTAAAGATATGTTCACAAATGATTATTTTCTGAACAACCGAACTGTACTGCTTTCTGAACTGATTACTGTTAATTGAATGAATGTATGTCCTATATTCTGAACTGTATTGTGGCATCCTTAGCACCTACTGTTTACTGTTACTGTTACAGAGATCTCTGTCGGTTCCCTTGTTGGGACCACCACTGTTTACTGACTGATGGCCATCACTACTGTTCGGTCTTTTAAGACCTACTGTTTACTGTACTGTTATGCTAATGGATATACCACATATGACTGCACTGACTGAATGACTGAAATACTGCTTAAATGAACTGTTTTCATACTGTAAGGACATTCATTCTTAACCTCTTTATGCATTATGTTATTCACTGGGCTTTAGCTCACTGCTCATATATATATGTAGGTGTTCAGGCACCAGACCGCGGCTAGGAGCGTCAGGGTTACTCTAGTTTTGTCAAGCCAGCCTATGTGCCTCACTGCGAGGTTCCGAGCCTATCATGTTAAGGCTTAGGAGCGTTTTATAATTCCCCCTTCTGTACTGTCTTACTGTTCTGTATAGACTGAATGTTTACTGTACTGTTATGCAGGGATTGAGTCCCTAGTCTGAATCATTGTAAATATTGTGCATACTGTTCTGTACTGTTTATGTATAAATGTATGAAAAGTCATTTTTGCATGCAGACTGTCACAGCTCATTGGGCATTGGTTATTTACTGTTTTGGCTTCCGCCAGGCCCTGTACTCTATTTTACTGTTCTACTGTTCTGCAGGCCTTTGGTAATCTTGGATTACTGGCCGGTTACGGTGCTAAACCCATAGGGCCAGGTTTGGGTCGTGACAGCCACGTACCCCTCTCTCTCTCAAGGTCATGATAATGCTAGGTGTTGAGTTATTAATTGGGGATTCAATATAAGATTTGAATCTTTTTTTGGATAAGATTAAATCTTTTCCTTTGGGCCGTAATTCACCAGCAGCTGCTGGGCCAACTAATTTCCATTTCCTTCATTTTTTTTTTTATTCATTTCCTTTCCATTGTTGCTGGGCCCTTTTTTATTCCTTTTCTTTTTCTCTTTTTTTTTTTTTTTTTTCTTAATTGATGTTAAGCTTTTTCAACGTTCCTAATTTAAATTAAATTACATCTTATTTTATTTTCTTTTTATAAAATTACTTATTTATTATCTGCATTATTATTATTTATCTTTAGTTTGACTCAATTAATATTACAATTCCATAAATGTGTTAATTTACTCCCAAAAATAATTTCCAATTAATCCTATAATCCAATGCCAAATTAGATTTATGTATTTATTTATTTAATAGTCTATCATCACATGCCACTATAATTATATATAATTCTAATTAAACATTCGGGGTGTCACATTTCTCCCCTTCTAATTAGAAGTTTGTCCCCAAACTTGACGTACCTTAACTTTCAAAGAGGTCTGGGTATTTAGCTCGCATTTGTTCTTCGGTTTCCCACGTGGCTTCTTCGATGTGATGATTTCGCCATAAGACCTTTACCAGTGGTATGGTCCTGTTTCGGAGAATTTGATCACGTCGATCGAGAATCAGCACTGGTTGTTCCTCGTAAGAGAGATCTTCTCGAACTTCCAAGTTCTCATAGTCGATGACATGTTCTGGATCTCGGAGATACCGTCGGAGCATTAATACGTGAAACACGCTGTGGATTCTAGATAGCTCAGGAGGTAGCGCAAGGCGATAGGCTATAGGGCCAATCCTTTCCAGTATCTCAAATGGCCCGATGTAACGTGGGTTTAGCTTCCCGCGCTGTCCGAATCAGATCACTCCTCTTGTTGGTGAGATTTTGAGAAACACATGATCTCCTACTTGAAATTCCAAGTCTCGCCTCCGAGTATCCACATAACTTTTCTGGTGGCTCTGAGCAGTACGAATCCGCTGTTGGATGAGTTGGATTTTCTCACTGGTGACTTGCACGATTTCGGGGCCTAACAATTTCCTGTCCCCGACCTCCGTCCAACACAGAGGTGATCGACATCTCCTTCCATACAGAGCTTCGTACGGTGCCATTCCAATGCTTGTCTGATAGTTGTTGTTATAGGCGAATTCCACTAAAGGTAGGTGCTCATCCCAGTTACCTTTGAGGTCCAACACGTATACACGTAACATGTCTTCCAACGTCTGAATTGTTCTTTCAGATTGCCCATCGGTTTGTGGATGATAGGCCGTGTTGAACTTCAGTGTAGTTCCCAACGCTTCTTGCAATTTATTCCAGAAGTGAGACACAAAACGAGGGTCTCGGTCAGACACGATTGAAATTGGAATACCATGCAACCGAATAATCTCTTTGATATATAAAGTGGCAAACTTATTCAGAGGGTACATGATTTTGATTGGTAGAAAGTGTGCTGACTTTGTTAATCGGTCTACTATAACCCATATTGCATCATTTTTTGAAAAAGACTGTGGTAGCCCGACCACAAAGTCCATAGTAATGTGTTCCCATTTCTATTCAGGAATAGAGAGTGGTTGCAATAGCCCTGCCGGTCTCTGATGTTCTGCTTTAACACACTGACAATGCAGACATTTAGAAACATGGTTTACTACATCTCTTTTTATTCCGGTCCACCAGTAGTGTTCCTTCAGATCATGATACATCTTTGTGTTACCAGGGTGGACTGCAAATCTTGAGTTATGAGTTTCCTCCAGTATCTTCTTCTTAAGATCCGGGATGTCGGGTATGCAAATTTGGTTCCGAAATTTCAGTATCCCATTGCTTATGATGAAATCAAGATCAGGCGTGTTTCCTTGTTCCTCGTACTTTTTCTTCAAGAGTTTATCTTCCCATTGGCGCGTTTTAATTTCTTCAATCAATGTAGGTTTCATGGTTATGTTGGCGAGTAACCTATCGACCTTGCGAGAAACGAGTGTGCATGCCAAGTTTCTTGTTGACTTCCGGCTCAGTGCGTCTGCTACCACGTTAGTTTTGCCCGGATGGTAATGGATTTCTATATCGTAGTCTTTCATAAATTCCAACCACCGTCGTTGCCTCATATTTAGTTCCTTCTGTGTGAATAGATATTTTAGACTTTTGTGGTCAGTATAAATCTCGCAGGTTATACCGTAGAGATAATAACGCTAGATTTTGAGAGCAAAGATCACCGCAGCCAATTCTAAATCGCGAGTCGGGTAGTTATTCTCGTGAGTCTTTAATTGTCGTGACGCATAAGCAATGACTTTTCCGTCTTGCATGAGAACGCAACCTAACCCATTGTATGAGGCATCACTATAGATTACGAACCCATCTGCTCCGGTAGGGAGTGCTAGTATAGGGGTTGACACAAGTCGACCTTTTAATTCTTGAAAGCACCGCTTCTGTTTATTGGTCCATTCAAAGGGTGTGTTCTTCTGAGTTAGCTGGGTCAAGGGCGATGCTATTTTTTAGAAATCTTGCACGAAGCGTCGATAATAGCCAACTAAACCCAAGAAACTTCGGATTTTCGATACATTGGTGGGTCGTGGCCAGTCCACGATTGCTACAACTTTTTGGGGGTCAACCGAGATGCCATCTTTATTAATGACATGACCGAGAAAGTGTACACTAGTAATCCAGAATTCGCATTTCTTCAACTTGGCATAGAGTTTGTGATCACGTAATGTTTGTAGAACCATTCGCAAATGCCGCTCATGAGCTTCTGGTGACTTGGAGTATATGAGGATGTCGTTAATGAAGACGATGACGAACTCATCAGGGTAGGGTTTGAACACTCTGTTCATGAGGTCCATGAAGGCTGTCGGGGCATTTGTGACCCCAAAAGGCATGACGAGAAATTTGTAGTGCCTGTAACGGGTTCTGAAGGCAGTCTTTTCAATGTTTTCCGTTTTAACCTTTAGTTGATGATAGCCAGAACGTAAGTCAATTTTGGAAAACACTTGTGCGCCTTGAAGTTGATCGAACAAGTCATCGATTCGCGGCAGAGGATATCAATTCTTGATGGTGACCTTATTCAGCTCCTGGTAATCGATGCATAATCTCATCGTGCCATCCTTGTTCTTCATGAACAATACTGGAGCTCCCCAATGTGAGGTAATAGGTCGAATAAAACCTTTGTCCAGGAGTTCCTGGAGTTGAGTCTTCAGCTCTTTCAATTCTGTCATCGACATGCGATAAGGAGTTTTTGATATAGGCTGCGTGCCAGGTTGGGTTTCAATGGTGAATTCAATCTCCCGATCAACTGGAATACCGGGTAGATCTTCAAGAAAGATATCCGGGAATTCTCGAACTATATGAATTGCATCAACGGTACGGGCTTCTTTTTGTGTGTCAATCATATAACAAATATAACTACCACAACCCTTTTTTAGGAGTCCTTGGGCCGCCATGGAGGATATGATACAGGAAGGATTAGAAACTTCAGCCCCATCAAAGAGAAGTTCGGGTTGGTTTGGTAGCGTAAGGGAGACCTTTTTGGCTTTACAATCGATAGAGGCATGGTTGGCAGCCAGCCAATCCATACTTAAGATTACATCAAAGTTTCCAATGCGGAGGGGAATCAAGTCTACATATAAGGTTTTGCCTTTTAGGAATACAACACAAGACCTGTACACATTAGTACTACAGGTAGACTTACCAGAAGGAAAAGACACAGATAATGTATATCCTAATGGTTCGGGTGTTGATATCAACTTGGCGGCAAAGTGTGATGCAACAAAAGAATGAGTTGACCCAGAGTCAATAAGGACATGAGCTAAAAGACCACAGATATAAAGTGTACCTGACACAACATTTTCGGTAACTTCCGGTTTTCCAAGCACCAAGGCGAAAGCCCGACCTTGGCAGTTTTGGTCCTTCTTTTCTCCTCTCGATCCCGCGGTTTTCCTGACTGGGCCAGAGGGATTGGCTATAGGATTAACCATTTTTGGACAATCCCTTAACAAGTGGCCAAACTGTCCGCATCTAAAACATGCTTCCGTGTCTCGGTGGCATTGTCCCTAATGAACCCTTCCACAAGTGGGGCAAGTTGGAATAGTGCCACATCGGGGGTTGGTAGGACCGTGGTGGCCTGAGTTGGTTGTGCCCATGTTCACCTTTTCATGAGGTGCAACATCAGGTCTTCTGTTATCTCTTTCCCAGAATCGCTTCTTGTAGCTTGGTTCTCCGGAACGCGAGGCTTTAATTCCCTTTTCTACTATGTACGCCCAGTCCACCACTTCTATATAGGTTGGCAATTTCAAAACTTCAAGCCTGTCTTTAATTCCAGCATCCAATCCTGCTTCAAATTTTCTTGTTTTTCGAGTTTCGGTGAGGATGACGTATGTTGCAAACCGAGCGAGTTGTGTGAACTTGCTCTCATATTCGGCCACCGTCATGGTTTCCTGCTTCAGATGTATGAATTCGGATGCCTTCTGTTCCCGCAATGAATCTGGAAAGTATTTTTCATAGAATGCTTCCAAGAATCTTTCCCACGTCATAATTTCTTCTTTGGCCAGAGTGAGAAGCCACCATTCCTGCACATTGTCTTAAAAAGTAAAAGTGGCGAAAGTTACCTGTTGCCTCTCAGTGTAGGGTAGAGCACGAAAAATCTTTTCTATGTCTTTAACCCAAGCATCCGTTACCATTGGGTCTGGGCCACCAGTAAATGTGGTGGGTTTCAGATCCTGGAACTGTTTTATGGTAACCGGCCCTCCTCGCTGTTCCGGTGTCCCATTGTTGATGTTAGCTTGCAAGGCTTGTAGAAAACTAGCAACCGCTTTTTCCATCGATTCCGTTCCACTAACTGATGGCTCACTTCCATTACCATTAGCCATTCTACAAGTAATAAACGAGGCATTATGTTTTCAACGCAGCATATATATATGTATATATGTAGCACAATATATATGTAGTACACTTTATATTCATATAAACTGCCAACATTACACATTGTTATTTATTTATATATATATTTTTTTCAACTCACATTACATTAGTCAGAACATGTTAGTGTCCCATCCCTGCGGTAAACAAAAACAAAAGTCAACAAAAAGAGGATTGGAACATATCAAGATCAGCATACAAAAGATTTTCTACTAGCCAGATCTAGAGTGGTGGGTCAGATGGGCCGAAAAACCAGGGGAAATAGTGCTGCATAAAAAGCTCGAACTCCCACCCCAACTAGATTACACCAAAACACACCCATGCAACCTGAACCGCGAAAATGGGGATAGACCGTATATGACCCACAAATGTTCGGTCAACAATCCAAACAGGTGTCTCAACATATAACAAATCATTTTCGAAGTCAACACTTTGCATATTAATGATCTCTAATGGATTTAGGACTGTGGTGAAAATGAAATCCTCGGGGTACACGTTCCCCCTTCTGGCTGCAAACTCTGGGGGTAGGGGGCCTATAATATAATGTGGGCGGTCATGACCCGGGGCGACGCCAAGGACGGGAGATGGTCCGAGAAAACGTCTGCGTGTATGGGCAAGGCTGTGTCTCCATAACAAGTGTGGGTCGTCAGTAGGGTCAACCTGGATATAAATTGGTCGACCTATCAACCGGCCAAGACCTGGGTGCAATTCCCTGACTATTTCCTCAGAATCTCCCCAACCCTCAGGTGAGGCGGGGGCGGGGGCAGGGTGTTCGGCTAAAATTTCGTCTAAGTTGATGGCCTGGAGGTCATTCCAAAAAGCATCATCAAGGTAAATCTCTGACATCCTACAACACCAGAATAAACGTGAGATTTTACATAAGAAAACTAACGTCACATGTAATTATTTATTATTATTTTAGTTTGATTATATATATATATTGTTTTTTTTTTTTTTGTGAACCGTTGCTCTGATACCACCTTTGTCATGTCCCAACCCTAGGGGTTTAGAGTTAGAATGGTGACCTACTAACTTATTCTTATTCAAACAAATTAAACTGCGCAAGCGAAAAAAAATATACTTAGACAGAAATTTTATTTCATACTACTATTAAAAAAAAAAGAAATACATTTCTAGGGTTTTCATTATTTTATTATTCAGTGACCAGCCCCGAATAGAGACAAAAGGAAGCGAAAATATAAAAAAAAAAAGAAAGATAAAATAGTGGTTTAATAACAGTCCATGAGCAGGGTCCATTTCAAGGGGTTATGGATTTTCCTTACATCTCGTCACCTGAAAGGGTAACAGCTATAAGCACACAGCAGAGTGAGAAATATTACACCAAGATAGGGAATACAAAATATCCATGGATAACTAGTTAGGCTAAACATTTGCATAATTAATTTAAAATGACAATTTATTTAAAGTGGCAGAATACAGAAATCATAACCACGGTATAAAACAGAACAGAATAGAGGTCACAGAAGTGACAATCAGAACAGAGGTCAATGGATCCATGACAAACAGAGGACCACAAAGTGGTCAAACGGAGGCTCATGGCTATTTAAATCCCCCAAGGCGTGGGACTCCCGTGGTGGTACTTACAAAACATAATTATTTATAAGGTTATAGTCAAATATATACTAAAATTTAAACAACCATATCTATGGGTTTCTTTTTAAGTAAATAGAGTTTAGAAAGTAACCCACGTAACTGAAATATTTATAAACATAACTTAATAAATATAACTTGTCTAAAATAAGCTATGGTAACTCAAAACATTTGTAAAACATATAATAGTAAATCAAGGTATAACATATCTCACCTTAATTATAACCCTTAGCCTTACTTTACTATCAGAACCTTCTTACTATGAGTTCCTTATACTCACTTGCGTACCTCTCTCTCTCAGTTCCTCTCTTTCTTTTCGTGTTTTTTTTTTCTCTCCAAGTCGCAACACCGTACTCCTATTTATACTGTTAACCGAGCCATGAGGGGCAGCCACGTACCCCTCTCTCTCTCTCAAGGTATGATGATACTAGGTTTTGAGTTATTAATTGGGGATTCAGTATAAGATTTGAATCTTTTTTTGGATAAGATTAAATCTTTTCCTTTGGACCGTAATTCACCAGCAACTGCTGGGCCAACTAATTTCCATTTCCTTCCTTTTTTTTTTTTTTTTTATTCATTTCCTTTCCATTGTTGCTGGGCCCTTTTTTATTCCTTTTTTTTTTCTTAATTGATATTAAGTTTTTTCAATGTTTCTAATTTAAATTAAATTACATCTTATTTTATTTTCTTTTTATAAAATTACTTATTTATTATCTGCATTATTATTATTTATCTTTAGTTTGACCCAATTAATATTACAATTCCATAAATGTGTTAATTTGCTCCCAAAAATAATTTTCAATTAATCTTATAATCCAATGCCAAATTAAATTTATGTATTTATTTATTTAATAGTCTATCATCACATGCCACTATAATTATATATAATTCTAATTAAACGTTCGGGGTGTTACAGTAATAGGTTTAGGATTTACAAACATGGAATACGTATAGTTAGAGTTGGAGGTGGGGGTGGGGGTGGGTGTCCAATATTATAGAGTATTAGTTCTATTGATAGGTGAGTGTTCCATTTAATAATGTCTTTTAATGTAATTTTACTTTAGGGTATAATTGTAATAAAAAAAAATTACAAAATGGGGGGTCCAAAGAATTTTGACAGATACTAATAGCAGTACTCTTTTTTTTTTTATTATTTAATTTGGCTCTTAAAGTTTTATATTTTCCACTTTAGTCCTTAATGGCCTATTTTGGCAATACAGTTAAAGGCCATCTTATTGGTTTTTTGTTTTTTTTATTACATCACATCTTTATTTTTTTACACATTTTTCAAAGAAAACAAAAAAAACTTTTAACTTACTTCCCAAAGTAGGGTTTTAAGTAGAGAAATTTAGCCAAAATCCCTCAATTTGAACATTGTTTTATGATAACGATAACCCAAATTATTTTGTTTCATAAACTCCTTAAAGAGGAGATGCATAACTGAGTAAGGACAAAATAAAATATATATTTTTTTCTTTGACAACATTGTTAGAGTAATGTTTACATCAATTTCAAATGGTAATCACTCTGTTTAGTTTCAGTTTTTAGAATTCACTTTTTTAAAAATTCTATTTTTTCGTTCTCCATTTTCTTTTCACTGAACTTTTTTAATATTTCAAGCAATTTTTAAAATTTGTAGGCACACTTAACATAAATACACTTAAAAGTATAATATTTGTAATTTTTTTTTAAAAAAAAATTCACTAAATACGCAAAATATAAAAATTCAATACATTTTTTACGTAAGATGTATCTAAAAAAGTAAAAAAAAAATATTTAAAATTTTAAAAATATTAACTAAAAACAAAAAAAAACGAAAAACAAAAGACTCAATTTCTAGAAAATTGAAACCAAACACACAAAATATATATATTTTTAAAAAATGTCATAGTCAACGTAGATATTATTTGATAGATTTTTGTTTGAGAAATTTGAAAAATACTAATTTGTCTGAAAAATCGATATTTAGATAAAAAGTTATATTATTTTAAAGTTTAATATTTTGGTAATTGTGGTGCGTTGGATTTTTTAAGAATTTTTTTTGTGATTGTCTTTAATGTATTAAAATTTTATTGCAAGGGAGTTTTGACAAAATTCTCATTTTAAGTTTTTTCAATTTAATCTTGAAGCTAACTTCTGTTCAAAATTAGTCAAAAAATACTACAATAATTGTTATCTAATATAAAAAAATATATTATTATATTGAGATTTGAGTTTGTGTAAAAGTTGTAAATTATATATAATAAAATATTTGTATGTCACGTAATTATTAATGTGTAATTTTGTTTTTATATTATCAGATGTTAGGTTTAGAAACTTGAAACATAAAAAGCTAAAATGACAAGAAAAAAAATCAAAATTGAAGTATAAAAATGAGAAGATGAACTAAATATAAAGGGGATAAACTATAACTTACCTTAATGAAATTAACATTAGGATTACGGACATAAAAAAACGAAATCCGCTCAAATTAGGGGGACCACGGGCCATTAAGTTGGGCCTGAAACTCGAGCCCAACATATATATATACATACATACGTATACCGTGTATATGAGCTTTCCTCAATTTTCCATTTTCACGCTTTTTGGGTTTCTTCATCTTCCTCAACACGCAAAACAGGACCATAGAGAATGGCGGAGAGCGAGAGCTCTGAAGTCACTTCTCGGCCATGGCAGTCTTATCACACTGTTTACACCAACGCCAAAGCAGGTACATACAGAAATTATACGGATTTGTTAAATTTTAGGTATATTTGTCTTTAATCTACATGATAAACCCGCACAATAGTGATTTTTTTTTTTTTTTGAATTTTACGAATCATGTAACGTTCATTGTTCTGTTTCGTATACAGGTTTCATTTTTGATGTCGATTTCACTATCTTAGGAGAATCTAATTGATTTTGAGAGCTGTTGTTTTGTATTGTAATCTTGAATTGAAAGACTTAGCATTGAGAAATTTGGAGGAATTTGAGTGAGATTTTTGAAATTTGAACAAAAAATCATGAAAGTACGATACGCGCCATCTTGGTTCTGGTTTGCACACAGCTTTCATTTGTGATATCGACTTCACTCTCTCTCTCTCTCTGGGTAAAAAAAAAAGTATATGGTTGAGTTTGAGGACTATTATTGTTTTGTATTATAACCTTGAACTAAAAGAATTGGTCCTTCATTGGTTGAATTTTGAAAAATTAGAAACTAGTTTGATAAAAATAATCACACATAGCAGCACAAACACCCCCCCCCCCCCCCCCCCAAAAAAAAAAAAAAAATTAATAATATATATATATATATATATATATATGCCCCAAAAAATGAGAAATCATATGAAAATAATGAGTG